AGGAATTCCTGATACCCTCAATGAGTGAGAGCAGCTAACATGGATCTTGAGAAAGAGATTTGGATCCCAAGACACAGAGCAAACTCTCTTCTGCAGTGTCCAATAGAACTTTCTGCAATGATGGAAATGCTCTGTATCTGCATTGTCCAGAAGAGTCATATATTGCTACTGAGCACTTGACATGTGGTTTGTGTGACTAGAGAACTGAATTTTTAGTTTTATTTAAGTTAAATTTAAATACCTATATGTGGTTAGTGGCTAGCATGTTGGATCACACAGTTCTAGGTGTCAGGACAGGCTGAAAACTACAATATCTCATAAATTCCTGGCAATGAATTCAAAGAATCTGTACTTCAAGAAGTGTAAAACGTTCCTGTTTCTTTACACATTCCAAGTCACAAGGGAAGGAGAACTTTCAGTCTCCCATGGAATCAAACAAGGACCACGTTACAGTAGAGCTGCTACATTTGTCTGTCCTCAGGACTCATTCTGCCAGCTCCATTCTAGCAGAAATAACACTGCACAATAATACTGAATCACATACAACATAACTTGGGCATTATATGCTGTCAACATTAAATCCAGCTTTAAACTTTATACTTACTGGAAAAGAAAACACAAACTCTACTTACCCTTTTCCTGCTGAAGGTCCAATTCAGGTCTTAAATTCCATTTACACAATATTGAGGCACCTAGTACAGAGATGGGCATCTAGTGGGAAAGACCATTATGTAAAAAGTATATCCAACTATCCAGCCATTCACCTATCTATCCAACCATCTGTCCACCATCTGCCCATTCACTCATCCACTCATCCATCCATCTATCCATCCACCCATCCATCTTCCCATCTACCTATTTATCTTTCCATCTATCCACCCATCTATTTATCTTCTGAATCTAGTCACTGACTCACAAAGAATAGCTTTTCTCTCATTTACCCAAATAATGAAAGCTTAATAGAGAGGAACAAACAAGAAGAAGGTGATTGCATAATACATTTTTAAAGTATGCTTTCAGATAAATTCCCCAAAATGGGAAAGAATAATTAGAACGAGAAGAAAAAAGTATGCATTAATTAACCATAATATTAATCGATAAATATTTATTGACCACCCATGTGGTACAAGGAATCATGTGAGGCACTGTGGAAGATATAAGAATAGATAAGAAATCTTTGTCCTCAACATTCTTAAACTACTTGAAAAGCTAAAGCAATGAAAAATATAAAAGGCTAAAAAGAAGACAAATGAGTGAAATATTTAAAAACACCAAGGTGAAAGATGTCACAAGATAATTTATGTCTCAGATAATAAGTCTCATGTTTAGAAGAGGGTTAGGAAATTTGGGCTAGAATTGTCCAATTTGGGGCTTAAGGAGGAGGCTTGAGCCAGATTCCAAACGATAAGCAACATGACATTAAAAAAAACCACAAGATTTTATTTTATTTTAATTTTTTTCTTTATTGATTTTAGAGAGAGAGGAAGGGAGAAGGAGAGAGAGATAGAAACATCGATGAGAGAGAACGTCGATTGGCCGCCTCCTATATGCCCCCCACTGGGGATCGGGCCCACAACCTGGGCATGTGCTCTGACCGGGAATCAAACCGGTGACCTCTTGGTGCATGGGTTGATGCTCAACCACTGAGCCACCTCAGTCGGGCAAAAAACAAAGCAAAACATAAGATTTTAAAACTTGGAGGGATCTTTGAAATAATCTAGCTCAATTCTATTATTTTATAGATAATTCAACTAAGGTCAGAGAGTTAAGTGACTTGGTCTGACTCCTTCTTATAGGTAGTAATGGCAGAAAAAAAGCTTCAAGTGCAGGGCTATCAATGTCCATTCCAAGCCATATATTACACAGGATGGGGAAAGGAGTCTTCTATTTAGGAAATAAGAAATCATTTTGGAGAGTGCGTGAGACACAGCATAAGCAAGAAAGCAGAGTCAGGAACTCAGTGTAACTACCATGTATGAGTACATCAGTGTGTATGTAAAGGGAAGAGAGCATGGAAGGAGAGGGAAGGCAGGGACTAATATGAAGGAACTTGGATGGAAATCTGCAATTGGTTGGCCATGAAAAAGCCAGAATTCTGGTTTCTGGGACTGCCTTGAAGCCTCCCTTTGACATAGTGGCATCTGTATAACTGTTCTAGAAAAAATGTTATTGTTTTCATATTAACAAAGACTCAAGTTCACCTGGAGGACTGCAGAAGGGAGGTTGAGATGAGTGATTATGGCTGTGCCTGCTCACACTTTAGAAGCCCTGATTCAGTCGATTAAAATGGAGGCTAAGAATCTGTATACTTTAAAAGCTCTCCAGTAATTGTGATGTTCATAGAGTTTGGAGGGTCTTCTGGTTCACCCTTTTACCAATCTATCCACTACAGACTACCACTTTAGATAACTCTTTGACAATATTTACTAAGTATATGCCCCTTATGATCTAGCAATTGCACTCCCAGTCATATACCCTAGAGAAACAAATACTTAAGTACCTCAAAAGGCATGAATAAGAATATCCAGAGCAGGTTATCATCAACCCTAAATTGGAAACAACCCAATGCCCGTTAGGATTAGAATGGATAAATAAATTGAGGTATATTCATACAATGGAATACTACATGATAATTTAAAAGAACAAACCACTGCTATGTACACCAAGATGGGTGATTGTCACAAACATAATTATAAGCATAAGAAGTAGGATTCCATTTATAAGAGATTAATGAACTGGAAAAAATAATCTATAATAATAAACTGAGAATAGTGATTGGCTCTTTATAGGGGTGGGTATTACCTGGAAAGGAGCATAAAAGAAACTCCTAGGGTGCTGGAACTGTTCCATATCTCCATCTGGGTGGTGGTTATGTTGTTATATAGACATGTGTAAAAATATATTGAACTGTACATTTGTTCAGCTTACTGTATATAGATTATACCTTATTGAGAAAAAATAGATATTGTACATGGGTGGATATATATATATATATATATATATATCCACCCATGTACAATATGGCAGGATATATATATATATATATCCTGCCAACCTCATGAGGTTGTTATAAAGCTCCAACATCTTTTAAAAAATGAGATCAGTAGATATGTACGGTCTTACATTATTTAAGTAGCTCAGTCCCTATTCTTGTTGAAACTGGTTAGATGCACTACCTGTGATTCAGGTGATACATCAGCCTTTATAAGCCTTAGCAAAACACAAAAAGTTATATGGACTTGGGAAGGATGCACAGTAACTATAAACTCACCGAAAGCATATTAGAGCTGACAAAGTTGCAACCCAGCTTTTGAAAGTGCCTTTTTGCTGATGATGCACTTGGTCTGCTCTGAAACTCCAGAGAAGGGTTCTGTGCAGCTACATCTTTACATCCCATGCTCTCACTTTCCTCTCTGCACCCCCCACCCCGCCTCCACCAAGAAGACAGTAAACACCATCTGTACCACAGCTCTCACACCCGGAAACAAAAATCTCATATTCCCATCAAGAAAATTTCCCTCATCCTGAGGTGCCCTCGGCCATTGGTAATGGGCTCCAGACCTTCTGCCAGCTCCAGAGTTTGCCTGCCCTGAATCAATACTTGAAACTGCCTGTGGTCATTAGTACCCTGTGGGCAAATGTTCATGGTCACAGAAGGCTGGGGGTGAGGAACGGGAATGGAGAGACCCTGTCCAGCCGGTGTGATGTGCAAACCTCATTTCTGGGCTGTTAGTTTTCAATCTTTGAAAATGTGGTGTGTGCTGAGCAGTGTACTTCAGGCAGCTAAGTGTAAACACATGTCTACAAATACTGATAACACTATCTTGTTTGTCCATTACTCAACAAAACCAGATCACCTGGGAACTGTTTGTTCCTCTACAAAATGAGAATCCAGCACCACATGTATTAAAATGTGGGACATTTTCTTTAGCATATACATTTTCAGGGGCTGCTTCTATGCCTTTCCTGGTACACTTTCAAATCTTTATGTATCTTTAACACCATAACGTACAGTTGATTTTAAAATAAAAATTTATGGTCTTTGGTTCACTGTACCATTTTTTTCTTGATTTGACCATCTGGTCTATGATGTGTCTGGAGTGTATTCATTATTGTGTCCAGTTTCTAGACTCAGAAGTGCATACGATGTGTTCAGCAACTTGTATGAACATCCTGCAGGTGTTTCCTGACTGGTTAATTCAAGCAGGCATTCAAATAATGAATATGCATTTTTAAGAATGAATAAATATAAATGCGCAAGAAATGCAGTTCACAAATATTATTTTTTCAGAATAAAACATTGTACTGATTGCCCCCCCAAACCAAAACTCCAAAAGTACTGTATATGGAAGTACATCACCAAAGACATTAAAATTCAAAATCAAACTGGAACGGAGCTTTCTCAAGAAAAAAATCCAATAATGCTTGATTTCACTTAGGAGATTCTTAGAAAAACCAGCACACAAACCGTTGGGTTACAGAGAGCCAAATACAAAGTCAGCTGTGAGAAAAGTTCAAGTAAGGAAAATGAATTTCAAGGAAATGCCACTTCTTTTCTCCTGTTGGTCACTTCTGAAAGAATATTTTGAATTAGAAATGCAGTGGGGCTTTTCTGTTCCCTGAAGATTTTGAATTGCTTCTAAGAGACATTTGCCTGGGATTTAAACTCTGTTAGTTGTGATTTTTTCCTCACGGGTCAACTAATTTTGCAGGAGGGAAAAGTTAGAAAAAGCCATGCCAAACCGATTTGTCTCCAGAAAATGCACCTCCATTTTATGCTGAGATTGTTTTTCTCACTTGCCTCCTTTCCCCCCTGCCATTCATTCACTTTTCTTTCTTAAACCAACAGGTAAAACTCAAGAAGTAATGCCCAGAACTAAAACATGCCTGGAAGGGAATCTGAGCTTGAGTAAAACTTCCACATTTGTCCCAACGTGGTAGCTCATTTACCCAGGCATCCAGCACCCTCAGAAAGAATGTAACTGTCCTCTGGTACTTACCTGTCGGCCGAGAGAGCTGTGAGTGTGAAGACAGACACCCCCACCGAGGTAAGCTGTATAAAGGGGATCAGTTTGCAGCCAATCCTGCCAAACAGCCATCTGTCAGCCAGGTACCGGCTGGCATCCACGGGAGCACACGTTACCAGGAGGAGCAGGTCTCCCAAAGCCAGACTGGAGATGAACAGGTTTGGTACATTTCTCATTGACTTCACGGTACAGAAGATCTTGATCAGGGTGATGTTGCCAATGAGGCCTATCAGAATGATGACCCCATAAATTGCAGGGATGACATAGAGGATCCCTGGGTGGAACCAGTCCTCGTTCATGGGGAGATCCACACTGTGACTGGAGATGTTGCAGGGCACATTCGGAAGCAAGCAATCATTTAGAGCCATCCTCTAGATTCTTTCCCAACTAAAAAGTGCCCTCAGATGCTGTTCCTTAACTTTTGATTTTGCAGTTGCGTGAAGAAGAGGACACAATCTCTGCTAGGCTCTTTATCTTCTTTAATAAAAAGACTCTGAGTATACATAGACCATGGCATTCAAAACTGTCTGTCACTATTTTGATGCTGGTCCTGCTCTGATCTTCACATGGCCAATGCAATATATTTCTAAATTCAGTCCCAAAAGGACTTAGAATTAAACCCACTTTGTATTCCTGTCCGAGTCTCCCTTGCTGCAGTTAACTAAGAACTTTTAGTCTGCTATTTTCACACGGCATTTCCTGTCTTTCCTGATACTTAGACCCTGAAGGTTTAAAGTGGATAGAAAAAAACTGCACTGAGAAAGCCTCAAATCCTATAGGCAGGATGCTTTGCACGTCACTGGCTTCACTAGCAACCGGCAGCAGTGCTGAGCTGAGGCTCTGAAGAGGAACCAGGGCTACTTATAGACAGAGAATGCCAGCCCCCTGCTGGACACTTCAATCACCGCCCAGTCGCCTACTCTCCACCAGCAGACTGGGGTTCCAATGCCCACAGGGCTTTAACAGATACCTTTGGCTTCTCATTTAAGATGCAGCACCTATGGTAGGTATTTAATGTGTTGCTAGCACTCTGCAAAGGCACTAGAAATCTTTCTGATGCTATGCCCAAGAATCCAGATGGAACGCAAATCCTATTTTTCATCTTTTCCAATAAGTTAGAATGACAGGTTAAATAAGATTGCTCTAATGAAGTCTGTCTCTGAGTGAAATGCACACAGATGCACAGGGTGTCTATGTGTGAGTTGTCCTACTCAGCCTTCCTACGGCCTCTTTGAATGGGGATACTACTGAGGAAAAATAGCACAGGACTCATGCTTGAAACCTTCAGTAACTGACCTCTAGGAAAAACCAGAAGCAGAACACACATGCTTTTCCTGTGGGTTTGCCAGGCCATTTTCATTCCCTCTACCAGGATAAATTAAATCAGAAGCCAGATGTATTCTTAACTCTCAAAGGTCTTTTCCAGAAAAATAGGTCTTTTCTCATTAGATCTGAAAATGACATGAATTGTCATTTTGATGCAATTATTTGCAATTTGTTTTGCTGAATGCTTGCCACATTTTATAGCAAATTTCCTCTTACGTCCTGAGTGGGAAATAAACTGTAAATGAGTTATGGATAGAATACTGAGGAATAACGGTGTGGAGAAAAACAACTTAGAGTGGACAGGATTCCAGGAAAGGCTTTATTGAGGAGATACTATTAAATTGGAGCTTAGACCTTTAGCCAACAATTTAAAAATACATTACAAGGGTGTATCCTCAAGACTTATGTGGAACCAGCTCCATCGAAGGAACATCACAGGAAGCCAGTTACTAGTAGGTGTTGTCATTGGAGGTTTGTTTTCTTTCAGAGTCCATAGGAATAAAGAAGCTTGCACTTATCAACATGCCAGGGCCCAGCAAGAAAGCCTCCGACTGTGTTGTCATGGAAATTTTCAGTGGCAGTTTATAATACTGAGATGGTCACCATGCTCCTTCCATAAATCCAAAGGGCCCGTGCTCTTCTCAGCCAGCAGCAGTTTGATGCTGCATACCTGGAGGGGGAAGAGTTTCTCAGTGGAGATCAGCATCACCAATAATGAGTCAATAACCAGGAGCCTAGTTGATTAGTTGCTAGCGGTGTATCTTAATGCAGTATATGAAATCTGTACTTAAATCCTGGCTCCCTCATTTATTACCTTGGCAAGTTACTTGCTGTCTAAAGCTTCAAGCTCCTTATCTGTAAAGTGGGAATAATTTGTGAAGTTAAACAAAATTATCCATGTTAAGACTTCATAATACTTGGCACATAGTAAGTGCTCAATTACTATTAGCTGTTATTGCTATAACTATTATTGTTGTAATTGAGAGAAATTTTTATTTTTCATTTTATTTTTATTGTGATTTTACTTTAGAAAAGCCCAATAAGGTCAGAAGAGCAATTGACCTCAGATCAATAGGCAAAAGGTCCTACTCCTACAGGTGAATCGGGAAGTCCTCCATTTACTGGAAAGACATTTATCAAACATCTACCAGTTTTCAGACACTGTGCAAGAGCTTGAGAAAAATAACATGAAGATACATGTTATTATAAGACTACTTATCATGATTCCAACTACTCAGCTCATAGTCAGAGGACTTGGTTTCAAAAATATGTCCTGTGGGTGTGGCTCAGTGGATTGAGCATTGTCCCATGGACTGAGAGGTCCTGGTTTGATTCCCAGGCAGGGCACATGTCTGGGTTGTGGGCTCGATCTCCAGTAGGGGGTCTCACTTCAATGTTTCTATCTCTCTCTCTCTGTAAAAAATCAATAAAAACATTTAAAAGAATAACACAAGAAGGGTTTTTACGTAGATTCTGCAACCGCTTCTGTTTGTTCTATACTGGATTAATAATTTTGCTTCTCAAAATTGCTGTGGTGGTTTTCTTCTCTGATCAATTACCTTTCTTCCTCTCAATGACAATGATTGCTTTTGGCTTTTATTTTGTCATCATTACTGGAGGGGTAGCCTTGTATGAATCATGACAAAACTTAGAGGAGTTTACCACTCTTAGACTAGAAGAATTAGTGAGGCATTGAACTATCAAGGGTTGTCCTGAGAATTTTGAAACAGAGGTAGCAACAACCAGCACCTGGCTATAATATTATATTAAACAAAATATCTTTGGGCCTTTCAACCTTCTGAATATTATTCAAATAAAAATAAACTCTGGTTTCTTAGAAAAAGTCACAATTTAGACCCCATCCCCTCCCTAGGATTAAGCAACTACCTTTTCTTCAGAAAAGATGACATTTGATCTTAAGGGTTAAGTGTTTGGCAGAACTTTTTGAAGGGAGAAAACAATGCTCCCAGGGCACAGGCATAAAGGAAAGAGCATGGCATTGAGCAGGGGACAGTTACAAATCCAGAAAGGCCATCCAGATTAGAAGACGAGGGGTGGGGGAAAATCAGTGTGAAATGCAGCTAGAGGCAGGTTTGGGTGAGATTGTGATAGATCTTGTTGTTTTTTTTTAAAGAAGTTTGGTCCAGAGGGCATATTTTTGGTTCACAAAGAGGACTTCTGGATGTTGTTTCTTGTTATTTCTTTAGATACCCCTCTATGTAGAGTTAGCTTCACTTCTTAAATCGAACTGGGCCATTAGTGTTTCTACCCATGTAAGTTAGATATTGATAGATATTGATTTGTCAGGGCTGGTGTTAGCCTTATGTGTTCCACAGCCTTAGAGACTTGTTCTAATGGTATTTTAGGAGTGAAGTTATATTGAGGTTCAACACCTAATATTTTCTGGGAGCAAGGATGTTTAAAAAACTAATTAGATAATTTTGATGTCATTTCAACTAATTGGCTGTAATGACTCTTTCCCTTCCTACTATTATGCGTCACCTTCCAGCAGATCATGAAACATATTTAGACATTTACTTAGCTTTTTATTTAATGATGAGTATGAGATGCCTTTGACTTATGAATGACATAGAATAAATATAATACAAAGTCCCTGTCCTCAGGGACTCCAGTTTCCGAATAGAATTGGAGTGTGACTCAGCATCCTTTCTTATGTGTCAGAGCAGGGGTGTCAGTTATTCTATTTCAGTCAAACAAGTCACATTTTCCATTCTTACAGAAAAGTGGATTTTCTGTGGGACTTGAATATGAGGGGGCAGTGACTTGGTAAAATTTGAGAGGATAGGCAGACTTGACAGGACCAAAGAGAGTGGAGATAAAGTCTCTTCCCACCAGCTATGTGCACGGCACTGTGGATTCCAGTAGTTAGTGTTCTTGGTAGAGTGACAGTGAGCATACATAAGCATGATACATTATTATAGAGTGGGTAGAATTTGTAAGTGGAATCAGAGTAAAGACAAAGGGATGCTCTGGGTCTGTTTGAGAGACAGCGTGCCTGGAACAAAGGTTTGAAGGGGAGTAATGAGAAATAAATAAAATTGGATCTTCTGGGGAAGACTTTACATTAAGATTTCAGTTGCACTTTAGCCTATATGACACTGACTCTTAAAAAAATCCTCAAGATTGCCTGGGGTGCTTCTTAAAAATACAGATCTAGAGGCCCTATCCCAGACCTACTGAATCAGGATTTCCAGAGATGGAACCCAAGAATGAGTCTTTTTCACAAGATCCCCGGGGGATTCTCTCACTCTTGTATTGTGGGGACCAGTGATGCAGACAGTAAAATATCCAGAGATCATAACAACATGATAGTGCCTGTGCTTTTCCTTCTGGGGAGGGAGAGGGTAAGCAAGGAAGCACATTCAGAAGAATGCTGCTATGAGCCCTTTCTACACAAAGAATGCTCCTTGAGCCAACAGCACGTGCATCACCTGAGAGCTTGCTGGAAATACACAATCTCAGGCCCCATCCCAGACCTCTTAATCATAATCTGCATTTTAACAAGATCCCCAGGGATTCACATGCACATTAAAGTCTGAGAAGTACTGACCTACACATTAGAGTGATCTGGCAGAAAAGATTAAGAAACAAGGGCAAGAACTGGGAACAGACAGGAGACTAAAATCTTAAGTTCAGAATGGAACCAGCAACTGGACCAACATAAAGAGGAGTGAAGAGCCACTGAATTGGGGCTTTTTTATATCCCTGATAATGGCTGGGAATTGTTCCAGGCTGCATGGCATATAAGCTGTTTTTGCTACAATACAGGGGCAAGAATCCCATTACAAATGTAAGCAATATAAGCAATGGAGAAACCCAAGATGGTGAATTCTTATTTTAGGCTCATGATCCAGAGAATAAAGAGCAAGGGCAAGAGGGAGGCCAATCTGGAGGAAAATGCACAATCTAACTTTAGGTGTATTGAGTTCACTATATGAACAAGGGTAAGTACAGAAGTAAATGGAAATGAGAGCTGAAGTCTGAAGGCAGAGAGATAAATAATTAAGAGGAGTGCCTGAGAACCAGAACTCTGAATGCCAAGTAGTTTAAATGTATAGAGAAAGGCTCACCGAGGATCAGGTCATGTTAGCCTCTGAGAAGAAGGTGGTGTGGTGAAAGTCAGTGGGTACTGAGTATGATTTTAGTATTATATTTGTGACAGCACCTTGGAGAAGCTGCCTAAAACATTGCAGCACCCCTTGCTTGAGAAGAATCAGAGATGTCAAATTTTAGTGCTGCAGCAGGAACAAAGGAGACAGATAACTATATCCAGATCCTGTAATGCTGGGATTATTTCAAGTTCCCTTCTCTTTTCTTAACACTCTGTGACTTTTCACGGGGCTTGGAAATTTAGGAAAGAGATGCAGGGAGTCTGCTGAAAGAAAGAGTCAAATTTCATTTTGAGCCTCACCAAGCTGCAGGAGTAAATGTAGATGCCCAGAAATAGCCTAGAGTAAAAGACAAATTCAGTCAGACCCAAGACTAAGAAAACACCTGGTATGATGGTTTCTAAGTATGCCCACCAGCTCTTGATATTATTTCCTTTAAGAGGTGGACATTAATTTCCCTTCCCTTGGATGTGAGCTGCACTTAGTGACTCGTTCCTAACAAACAGAATGAGACCTCAGTGATAGTGTGTAATTTCCAAGATTATATGACAAAGGACATTGCAGCTTCCTCCATGCACTCTCTCTTAGATCACTTGCTCTGAAGAAAGTCAATCACCTTGTCACGAGGACACTCAAGTGATCCTATGGACAGGTCCACATGGTGAGAAACTGAGGCCTCCTGTCAACAGCTAGTCAGTAAGTCACTTTGGAAGTGGATCCTCTAGCCTCAGACAAGCTTTCAGATGCCTGCAGCTCCAGTTGATGTCTTGACTACAATCTCAAGAGACACTGTGAGCCAGGACCAGCAGTCAAGCCATTCCCACATTCCTGACCCACAGAGACTGTGAGTTAAATATTTTTTGTTTTAGTCTACTGTTTTATGGTAATTTGTTGTACAGCAATAGATAATACCTGGTAAGTAAAGTGACAAAGAGGGGAAGAGGTGAAAAACACCAAAAGACAAATAAAACTAAAAAGATATAACAGAAAAGTGTTATAAACCAGAGTTGAACTTTGAGTGGTCAGATAGGATGTGAGGGAAAGAAAAGTGTGCTCATATCTAGAAAAGTTAATGGAGGCTGAAATAAAATATATGTATTTTTAAGATATTGTGAATGAGCTGAATTTTCTTGCCCAGCCACCATATACCTGGAAATTAAACAATTTATATTCCATTTCCACATTTGCTCAGTGAGCATGGGCAAGTCAAATCAATTCAATGAACATAATTTACCACTGAACTGTTCTGTGCCATGGAGTCTTCATCCATTAAAGTGCAATGGCATTTTCCCCTTGCCAATGCTCCAGGACAACTGGAGGCATTAGTACCACCCAGTGCCACCTAAAGCAATAGAGTCAGAGAGGGATACCTCAGTCATTTCTCTTTCTAGCTCTTTTTTCCTCTCTCCTGGGAGAATCTGATCAGTGTGGGCCTAGACTCCCTGAAACATCCCTATATTCCCACCTCTGATAAAAGATCTAACAAGACAACATGTTGCTAGGATGGGCTCCTTTTTAAACATTTTATTTTGAAATCATA